AATTTTGCACTCAGGTTTAAGTCTCATGGCCCTCTATCAGAATCCAGAGTTTTGAGAAGATTGGGGAAACTTTTTTTTCGCCCAAAAAAAAAAACGTAAGGGGTAACACTGTCGTTTTTTTTTCGGGTCGAATTTTTGAGTTTCGATATCTCAGCTCTGGAAGGGTCTAGAGCCTCCATTTTTGCACTCAGGTTTAAGTCTCATGGCCCTCTATCAGAATCCAGAGTTTTGAGAAGATTGGGGAAACTTTTTTTTTCGCCCCCAAAAAAAACGTAAGGGGTAACACTGTCGTTTTTTTTTTCGGGTCGAATTTTTGAGTTTCGATATCTCAGCTCTGGAAGGGTCTAGAGCCTCCATTTTTGCACTCAGGTTTAAGTCTCATGGCCCTCTATCAGAATCCAGAGTTTTGAGAAGATTGGGGAAACTTTTTTTTTCGCCCCCCAAAAAAAACGTAAGGGGTAACACTGTCGTTTTTTTTTCGGGTCGAATTTTTGAGTTTCGATATCTCAGCTCTGGAAGGGTCTAGAGCCTCCATTTTTGCACTCAGGTTTAAGTCTCATGGCCCTCTATCAGAATCCAGAGTTTTGAGAAGATTGGGGAAACTTTTTTTTTCCCCCAAAAAAAACGTAAGGGGTAACACTGTCGTTTTTTTTTTCGGGTCGAATTTTTGAGTTTCGATATCTCAGCTCTGGAAGGGTCTAGAGCCTCCATTTTTGCACTCAGGTTTAAGTCTCATGGCCCTCTATCAGAATCCAGAGTTTTGAGAAGATTGGGGAAACTTTTTTTTTCGCCCCCCAAAAAAAAACGTAAGGGGTAACACTGTCGTTTTTTTTTCGGGTCGAATTTTTGAGTTTCGATATCTCAGCTCTGGAAGGGTCTAGAGCCTCCATTTTTGCACTCAGGTTTAAGTCTCATGGCCCTCTATCAGAATCCAGAGTTTTGAGAAGATTGGGGAAACTTTTTTTTTCGCCCCAAAAAAAAACGTAAGGGGTAACACTGTCGTTTTTTTTTCGGGTCGAATTTTTGAGTTTCGATATCTCAGCTCTGGAAGGGTCTAGAGCCTCCATATTTGCACTCAGGTTTAAGTCTCATGGCCCTCTATCAGAATCCAGAGTTTTGAGAAGATTGGGGAAACTTTTTTTTTCGCCCCCAAAAAAAAAACGTAAGGGGTAACACTGTCGTTTTTTTTTCGGGTCGAATTTTTGAGTTTCGATATCTCAGCTCTGGAAGGGTCTAGAGCCTCCATTTTTGCACTCAGGTGTAAGTCTCATGGCCCTCTATCAGAATCCAGAGTTTTGAGAAGATTGGGGAAACTTTTTTTTCGCCCCCCAAAAAAAACGTAAGGGGTAACACTGTCGTTTTTTTTTCGGGTCGAATTTTTGAGTTTCGATATCTCAGCTCTGGAAGGGTCTAGAGCCTCCATTTTTGCACTCAGGTTTAAGTCTCATGGCCCTCTATCAGAATCCAGAGTTTTGAGAAGATTGGGGAAACTTTTTTTTTCGCCCAAAAAAAAAACGTAAGGGGTAACACTGTCGTTTTTTTTTCGGGTCGAATTTTTGAGTTTCGATATCTCAGCTCTGGAAGGGTCTAGAGCCTCCATATTTGCACTCAGGTTTAAGTCTCATGGCCCTCTATCAGAATCCAGAGTTTTGAGAAGATTGGGGAAACTTTTTTTTTCGCCCCCCAAAAAAAAACGTAAGGGGTAACACTGTCGTTTTTTTTTCGGGTCGAATTTTTGAGTTTCGATATCTCAGCTCTGGAAGGGTCTAGAGCCTCCATATTTGCACTCAGGTTTAAGTCTCATGGCCCTCTATCAGAATCCAGAGTTTTGAGAAGATTGGGGAAACTTTTTTTTTCGCCCAAAAAAAAAAAACGTAAGGGGTAACACTGTCGTTTTTTTTTTCGGGTCGAATTTTTGAGTTTCGATATCTCAGCTCTGGAAGGGTCTAGAGCCTCCATTTTTGCACTCAGGTCTAAGTCTCATGGCCCTCTATCAGAATCCAGAGTTTTGAGAAGATTGGGGAAACTTTTTTTTCGCCCAAAAAAAAAAACGTAAGGGGTAACACTGTCGTTTTTTTTTTCGGGTCGAATTTTTGAGTTTCGATATCTCAGCTCTGGAAGGGTCTAGAGCCTCCATTTTTGCACTCAGGTGTAAGTCTCATGGCCCTCTATCAGAATCCAGAGTTTTGAGAAGATTGGGGAAACTTTTTTTTTTCCCAAAAAAAAAAAACGTAAGGGGTAACACTGTCGTTTTTTTTTTCGGGTCGAATTTTTGAGTTTCGATATCTCAGCTCTGGAAGGGTCTAGAGCCTCCATTTTTGCACTCAGGTCTAAGTCTCATGGCCCTCTATCAGAATCCAGAGTTTTGAGAAGATTGGGGAAACTTTTTTTTCGCCCCAAAAAAAAAACGTAAGGGGTAACACTGTCGTTTTTTTTTTCGGGTCGAATTTTTGAGTTTCGATATCTCAGCTCTGGAAGGGTCTAGAGCCTCCATTTTTGCACTCAGGTTAAGTCTCATGGCCCTCTATCAGAATCCAGAGTTTTGAGAAGATTGGGAAAACTTAATTTTTTCCCCAAAAAAAAAAACGTAAGGGGTAACACTGTCGTTTTTTTTTCGGGTCGAATTTTTGAGTTTCGATATCTCAGCTCTGGAAGGGTCTAGAGCCTCCATTTTTGCACTCAGGTCAAAGTCTCATGGCCCTCTATCAGAATCCAGAGTTTTGAGAAGATTGGGAAACTTAATTTTTCGCCCCAAAAAAACGTAAGGGGTAACACTGTCGTTTTTTTTTCGGGTCGAATTTTTGAGTTTCGATATCTCAGCTCTGGAAGGGTCTAGAGCCTCCATTTTTGCACTCAGGTGTAAGGTCAATGGCCCTCTATCAGAATCCAGAGTTTTGAGAAGATTGGGGAAACTTAATTTTTCGCCCCAAAAAAAAAACGTAAGGGGTAACACTGTCGTTTTTTTTTCGGGTCGAATTTTTGAGTTTCGATATCTCAGCTCTGGAAGGGTCTAGAGCCTCCATTTTTGCACTCAGGTGTAAGTCTCATGGCCCTCTATCAGAATCCAGAGTTTTTGAGAAATTGGGGAAACTTTTTTTTTTCGCCCCCCCCAAAAAACGTAAGGGGTAACACTGTTGTTTTTTTTCGGGTCGAATTTTTGAGTTTCGATATCTCAGCTCTGGAAGGGTCTAGAGCCTCCATTTTTGCACTCAGGTGTAAGTCTCATGGCCCTCTATCAGAATCCAGAGTTTTGAGAAGATTGGAGAAACTTATTTTTTTGCCCAAAAAAAAAAAACGTAAGGGGTAACACTGTCGTTTTTTTTTTTCGGGTCGAATTTTGAGTTTCGATATCTCAGCTCTGGAAGGGTCTAGAGCCTCCATTTTTGCACTCAGTGTAAGTCTCATGGCCCTCTATCAGAATCCAGAGTTTTGAGAAGATTGGGGAAACTTTTTTTTTCGCCCCCAAAAAAAAAACGTAAGGGGTAACACTGTCGTTTTTTTTTTTCGGGTCGAATTTTTGAGTTTCGATATCTCAGCTCTGGAAGGGTCTAGAGCCTCCATTTTTGCACTCAGGTGTAAGTCTCATGGCCCTCTATCAGAATCCAGAGTTTTGAGAAGATTGGGGAAACTTTATTTTTTCGCCCGAAAAAAAAAAACGTAAGGGGTAACACTGTCGTTTTTTTTTTCGGGTCGAATTTTTGAGTTTCGATATCTCAGCTCTGGAAGGGTCTAGAGCCTCCATTTTTGCACTCAGGTCAAAGTCTCATGGCCCTCTATCAGAATCCAGAGTTTTGAGAAGATTGGGGAAACTTTTTTTTTCGCCCCCCAAAAAAAAACGTAAGGGGTAACACTGTCGTTTTTTTTTCGGGTCGAATTTTTGAGTTTCGATATCTCAGCTCTGGAAGGGTCTAGAGCCTCCATTTTTGCACTCAGGTTTAAGTCTCATGGCCCTCTATCAGAATCCAGAGTTTTGAGAAGATTGGGGGAACTTTTTTTTTCGCCCCCCAAAAAAAACGTAAGGGGTAACACTGTCGTTTTTTTTTCGGGTCGAATTTTTGAGTTTCGATATCTCAGCTCTGGAAGGGTCTAGAGCCTCCATTTTTGCACTCAGGTGTAAGTCTCATGGCCCTCTATCAGAATCCAGAGTTTTGAGAAGATTGGGGAAACTTTTTTTTTCGCCCCCCAAAAAAAACGTAAGGGGTAACACTGTCGTTTTTTTTTCGGGTCGAATTTTTGAGTTTCGATATCTCAGCTCTGGAAGGGTCTAGAGCCTCCATTTTTGCACTCAGGTGTAAGTCTCATGGCTCTATCAGAATACAGAGTTTTGAAAGATTGGGGATACAATTTTTTTTTGCCCCTAAAAAAAATAAAACGTAAGGGGTAACCTGTCGTTTTTTTTTTTCGGGTCAAATTTTTAGTTTCAATCTCAACTCTAAAGGGTCTAGAGCCCCATTTTTGCACCTCAGTGTAAGTCTCATGCCTCTAATCAGAATCCAGAGTTTTGAGAAGACAAACTCAGTTTTTTTTCAGCACACACACTAAAAAACGTAAAGGAAACCAAATTTTTTTTTTGGGAGTAATTTGAAGGGTATTATTCACATGTCCTTTCACAAAATGAATAGTAGAAATTATTTGCATATATATACACAAGTGCAAAATTCTACTCTGGAAAAAAATTGTTCTATTATGAGTCAGGGTATAAAAAATATATTAGATGGAAAAAGTGCCTTTCAAGTGATTATTCTGCACTAAATAACAAAACAAAAAAGAAAAAAAAAGATTTTGACCTAGGGTAATATTTTAAGTGCAGTACCCAGATTCAAACAGCAGAGGACGCCACCAACCTGAAGAAAGTCTGCAGTCCTTCACTGCCCTCAGAGTCTTAAAGGGGCAGGCTGCATAAATCTCTGTAGCAGAACAGCCTATAATCGTCATCTGATAACTAGATATAATAAACTGGACAAGGAGTTCGGGAATGTTCCTTCCTTTTTCTAAGTCCACTTGTTTTTTTTTTTTTTTGCTCAGCCCTTGAGCTCTGGAAAGTACCTTGGCACAGTCTTAACAGGAACTTTTGCAGGAAAACCCTGGTGACATCAAGAAGCATTATAAAGCACACAGGCTTTAGTTTTTTATATATATATATATATATATTTATATATGGCTAATCGTTCAGAGCGCTCCATCTATTGGCTATTACAAGAAATAGTTTGTCCAAAAATTATATTTTTGTCACTGTTTACTCGCTCTAATCTCATTTTCATTTTTGGGTGAACTGTTCCTTCTTATGCATTCTATTATTTGACACCGTATAATCTGTGGAACTTTTTCAAACAAGTCAACCGTGAATATACTTATCTGTACCCCTTCTAGAAGAGTCAATTCCCTAGCATTTTCTTACGCACTTTACAGATAACATTTACTTTTGCAACACCAGCTCCACAGTGCCTTCAAACGACTCGGGATCTGCAGTTTAACAGCGAATATTTTAGATTGAAAAAGTCTTGCTTTTTCCAGGCTCTGGTCACTGTGTAAGACCTATTCTGTATGTCTGGCTTACACCACTGGGAAAATCTGAAATATTAATATCTATCCTTTGTTAAACTACTTGTCTCCTGCCTCCCTAACCAACCTCAGAGGAACATGTGACCGATCTGGCTGGTTTGAAACCAGTTTGCAAGGACATCCTCAAAACTGGACTGGAAAACACTGACCTATACCATTTTTTTGGACACAATCACGTTGTAGAGATTCCAAACTCTCCCGATTATTTTCTCCATCTCTTGCATTTTCCACCCTCTCTGTCCACCCATCCTTTCCTCGTTTCATTTCAGTCGGTGAGGACGACCAGCTCTCCCTCACTGCGTTCGCCCGTGTCACTCTCCTCTCCTTCGCTGTAGGGCTGTCGGGGCCGCGCGGCCTCCTGCGTCTCGTCACCTCGGATCTGCGGGGGCTCCAGAGCCCGGGGGAGGTAGTGCTCCAGGAGGGCAGGGTGCAAGGGCAAGGTGCTCATGGACACGGGTGTGGTTGGGTACTGTACTTCACTGGGGGGGTACGGTAGCTGCTGCTCTGATTGGCTGTGGGAAGAAATGTTGACTGTAAGGGGGCGAATCGGGAACCATCATTAGGTTATCAGACGACTGACGACTACATTCACAACTTGTTGAGTGTGTCTGCGGGCGTCACCTCGGAGGGTACGTTACTCGTTGCTCCTGTCGTCGGCTCTTCATCATGGCCTTGTACTCTCCCACCCGCAGTCGTCTTCCCTCTACAATACAGGTGCGCTTTGGCCGGGGTTTGTATTTGTAGTCTGGGTAACGTTCCAGGTGTTGCCGACTCAATCTGGCCTGCTCTTCATAGTACGGCTGCTTCTCCTGATTGGACATGGACTTCCAACGGGAACCTGAGGAGGCAACGAACAGGCATGAGAGTAAGGTATTAAATAATTGGGGTTTTCAATGTCACGCCCACAACGCAAACATCATTGCTATAGTACTTAAAGGAGCCGTATGCAAGATTGTGGCCAAAACTGGTACTGCAATCACTTTCAAATTAGGGTGCATCCCCGCCTTCCCCCATGACTTGAGGTTGCCAGATATGCTGCAGGATCCAGCCGGAATGTAGGCTGCTACAAGAAGCTTCCAATTGCAAGTGACGAGTCCAACACAGTGAGTTTTTTTCAGTTAATTATTTATTTCGGACTTTGAAAAAGTATTTCGGACTCATATCGAGTTTTTTGGGGTTTCGCAACGGTAGAATTCTTTTTTATCCGGTTCCGACACGTTTGTATCTGCAGCTGTGGTAACTAGAGCAGAGCTGGCAACCCGAATGCCGCAACACTACCGAGTACGTGATTGGTAGATCGGTGGAGGGTGACGCATCAGAACAAAACACAACATGACGACATCAACGTCAGTCAAGGGCTGCGACTTCACTTTTTAAATGACAATATCCTGGCCGGACTACTGTTGTCAGTGATATAAGTATTTGAAATGAACATGATTTCTTAATGTCTAGTGACATATCAGGGAAAATTTATGATTCATTGAAATACATTTCTTGCATAAAGCTCCTTTAATATGTTGCATATAGTGTGCAAAACCATGTTTACGCCTTGCCGTAACAGCTTGACGATGTCTACAGTGGACACGACAAAGTGACCATTGCAAATCCATTCGTTTTTCATGTCAAAAGTAGCGCAGACGCTTTGGAGAACGTCAGAAACAGTACGAGGCATCAGCTTACTGTCGGGATTTAGTGTGTTGCATCGTGCCACTCGCGTCTGGTGTAGACAGGGTATTAGTTAAACTGAAACCTTAAAAATATCAACAGCTTATAGATTTTTGTAAGCTTATTTTTCATCCAGTTTTACCATATTACCATCTCTGGTGTTTCATCCAGTTTTACCATATTACCATCTCTGGTGTTTCATCCAGTTTTACCATATTACCATCTCTGGTGTTTCATCCAGTTTTACCATATTACCATCTCTCATTTGTACAAGCCACCCATCCATTTTAGTTGTTTTTGCTCAAATTCAGTTGTGCCAAATCTGCCGTAACCCTAGCAAAGGATTCACTGGGAGAGTAGTTAAATTGCCCACTCTAGAGTGGATGACTAAAATATTTGCTAGTAAAATCTCACATTTACAACATTTGCATGGTCTCTTGCCATCCACATCACACCAAATATTCATCATAATCTTCCAACCCCAGACCAAAGCTTGAAGTCGTAACATTTAATGGGGGCTCGTCCGGGATCATTACAAATTATCCCTGTAATTGTGATCATTTGGGTGTGTTTGTTAGGGGCAACTGACGGTGCGTTTTTGACGTATTGGCAGTGTACACATGCGGAGCGTTATTGTAGCGCTCATCTGCTTATACATTATGGACACTAATCCCCTAAAACAAATTGCCTAAGGAGATTGTATGTCTGCATATTTGAATTTATGCACCTGTTAGTAATGAATGAAGCTAAAATAGTCAAACCAGTTTATTAGAAGGAAGTGTTCATGCACTTTTGGCTTGGAGCAGGTTTTTCAGTGGTATTTTGGAGAGTTTAAATTCCACAACGACAAGGAAGAGAAAGATAATTCAGAGTGAAAGTACAAAGGAGTGCAAAGCGACCTGAAGAATTCACCGACCTAATTCGCTATATGTTGGGAAGGTTTTACATTGTAAGAATTCAGTTTAAGTGAAGTCAAGTTTATTTATATAGCACTATATACACAATAAAGATTGTTTCAAAGCAGCTTTACAGAGATAACAGGAAAATAATGCAAAAAAGTTTGTTGTCCAGAAAAAAATGGCGTCACAGTCCAGCTGAAGTAAGTTCAATGATGTTTCATTTTTGTTTTAAAAAAGCTATTAATTAGTTATGTCATCGCCCAGCTCAGTTCAGTTCTCACGCAGATCAATATTATTGTTGAAAATTAAATAAAATGTTAAATTTAATGTCCCCAACTAAGCAAGCCAAGCCAATAGCAAACAAAGGTGGGAAAAGGAAAAAGTTTTATTGACTGCATGCGTGCAACGCTGGCTTCACTGACATGTGCTGCGGGCTGAAAGTGTAGCAAACTGACAGAAACTTAGGTGTGTACCAGAAAGAGCTTCAGGCCATGTTTGGGAGGAGAAAAAAATCAGGGGGATCTCAGTAGCGCCACAATGGAATGGAATGCAAGTGTTTTGTGAAAGGAAAGCACTGAGGAAGGCAGAGGTGCAGCAAGGGATGAGGGGGCTGAAGTTCTGGGTGTTGTTTTCCTGTCACCCCAGGAGCCAGGTGGCTGTATGTGCCCTAGTGTGACCCCTCTTTTATCCCCCTAAGACCTTCTGTCCTCCTATCCATTCCAGCAAGTTACATGTTCGGAAATATATGTGTATTACAGAGTAACTTAAACTGCTGACTGTAGGATTAGCTGTGAGCATGAAGAACCCAAAGTTCCCATAACCCCCCAGCCCAACCCAACAGTGAACAACTGATCTCAAGATAAAGGAGTAAAAAAAGAGATGAAATAATAATACAATAACGAGGACAATGCTGTCAGAACAGGTGCTTCAGAATCCACAAAGAGGAAGGATTAGAGAGAGTACAGTCACTAGAGCATTCCTTTCGTTGATGACATTTTTCTTTGACGAGATGACAAAAAAAAAACACTTTCACAAGTTCACACTTGCATGTAATTAAATAGAGTAAAGGTTATGCGTATTTGGCTTAATGTCCGAGGGGATGGCTCCGTGCTCATAATTTGGCAGTATATACACCTCTTATCTTATTAATTGAACTGAATATGCTCCTCTTGGGTTAATTAGGTTAATTTTCTGAAAGTATTCCTCCCGAACTTTGTTGATAAAACATCATTTGATGGACAAAGCTAACACAGTTTGCTTAAGCACAGTTCACACTATATGATTTTAAGCCCGATTTAAAGGAGTAGTTCACTTTGAAAAAAAAAAAAAAAAAAAAAAACTTCTGCTGATAATTTACTCACGCCCATGTCATCCAAGATGTCCATGTCATTCTTTCTTCAGTCGAAAAGAAATTTCGGTTTTTGATGAAAACATTCCAGGATTTTTCTCTACATAATGGACTTCAATGGGAACCAAACGGTTCAAGGTCCAAAAGACAGTTTCAGTGCAGCTCAAAGGGCTTTAAACGATTCCAGACGATGAATAAGGGTCTTATCAAGTGAAACGATCGCTCATTTAAAAAAAAAATAACAAAGTTTAAGTTTTAAAAGTTTAAGTGATGCGTGTTCTGTGATGTGCGTATTTGAACTCATTCATCAATATAAACGAATCAGAGAGCAAGTCAGGTAGTGTGAACTGCACAGTTCAGCGCGACGTTTTAAAATCATGTAGTGTGAACTAGGATTTATGCAACTATTAACAAACAAAGACATGAATATTACATGAACCGATGATGTGCAGTCATTGGGCAGAGCGAACGACCAATGATATCTGTATCATTCATTTATGTGCATGAAACATGAGAATTACAACAATATTCTTATCATATTACTACTAGTAAACCATCTAAAGTTTGCTAAGAATCATTAGACTATCACTAAAATCAAATTCAAAATGTCTTGTCAAAACGAATGCTTACCAAGGATCTTGCTGATGCTGGAGTTGTGCATGTCAGGGAACGCCTGCAGGATACGTCGCCTTTCGTCTTTAGCCCACACCATGAAGGCGTTCATGGGACGTTTGATGTGGCCAGAGGAGGGAGTCCGGGATTCACTATAGCTTCCCACAACAGAGATTGCCATCTGTCCTGTTGGGAACAACAAGATTAAAAAAAAAACAATCAGTCTAGACACACAAAACTTCCTTTTGTTTGACAACACACCCTGCAGCCAAGTGCAATTACACAGGCAGGTGGCATCTGTGTTTGCTGCATGCCAAATAGGTTTTTATTGTATGAGAAATAGTCATAAATTCACCATTTGTTTACTTGATCAGAATTCTATTTTTGCACACATACTAGTGACATGCAAAACTACATACTACGACGAGTCACCTAACCTGTCTGACCTGCTAGCCATGCATGATTAGATCTCGGTGAGGTGATCTCGAAATGGACATGCTTCTTACGGGGTGTTTACAAAACGGTTTGCAAGAGAATGGAAAACAATCCATTTTTAAGTTGACACAGTATCACTTTTTTAGACATAATGTTGAATGTGTATGGCTGTATCAGGAACTGTACAAGGAAATTCATTTAAAGACACTGTCCCGTGCAAACTAACCAACAGCTAAAGCACAACACCCAGGCAGCATACTAATTAATGTACCACCGATTGAAGTTGACCATGATGGCCCATATACGTACCCTCTGAGTCACTGCTGAGGTGGTCCTCATTCGTCCTAGGGCACTGTCCTTCATCCATCCGGTCTCGAGACGCCTCCTTATAATCAATCAAAATGAAAAGACAGAAAATGTACTCCCTACTACAGACTGTATGATTTCAGCAATCTTATAAGATCACATTGTACGACATGGATTTATTAAACTTGGGAACTGTACGATAATGGTACCTATTGAATTGTGGGCTACGACGCAAGTTAGTATAGAAGAATAATCAGCATGCACTAGTGTAGCGCAAGATGAATCGGACTTTGGCAATTATTAATGTGCGCTAAAAAAACAGCAGGAAGCGAAAGAGGAGAATATGGACACGGTCATGGCTAGGTAAAGAGGCCGGCTTGGATATGTCAATCTTGCAAATTAAGCTTGAGGTAAGTAGTTTTAAAGGAGAATGAACCTTTGGTCTAATTACACATTGTTACCTAGTCAACCGTTATCTGAGATTTGTTTTCATGATTGCCGAATGTAAATAGTTTTATCTATTAAAACAGTTTAGCCTATAACGCTAGCATATCGGGCATAGAGTAATGACAAATAAAAATCGCTTATTATTACCACTAACAAGGCTCAAAATAGCCCCACAGTAACACGGTAGCATAATAAGGGTCTCTACATTCAAACCGAAGCATTGAGAACATTGTCAGTGTCCATACAGTTTAATAAGAAGATATTTTATACACACAGTCAACTTCGGGAATACAGGAAGAAGCCATCTTTGAAAAATAGTCTCTACCAGTCGATCTACGAACGCCGATCCAAGTGCGCTGAACCGTGCAGAATCTCATATGGTCCGTTGTTTCCGGAAGAAACACAAACACGAACCATTTTCTTCTCTTCAATATGTACACGTAGCCTACTGTTCGCGCCCACCTTGTTACCTTATTCACATCTCACCAGCGCACTTGGATCGGCGTTCGTAGATCGACTGGTAGAGACTATTTTTCAAAGATGGCTTCTTCCTGTATTCGCGATGTTGACTGTGCGTATAAAATATCTTCTTATTAAACTGTTTGGACACTGACAAAGTTCTCAATGCTTCGGTTTGAATGTAGGGACCCATATTATGCTATTGTGTTGCTGTGGGGCTATTTTGAGCCTTGTTAGTGGTAATAACAAGCAATTCTTATTTGTCATTACTCTATGCCCTATATACTAGCGTTATAGGCTAAACTGTTTTTATAGATAAAACTATTTACATTCGGCAATCATGAAAACAAATATCAGATAACGGTTGACTAGGTAACAATGTGTAATTAGACCAAAGGTTCATTTTGTGCCGGAGTTCTCCTTTAAGTTTTAGCAGCATGTTGCAGTGATCAATACATCACTTCGTTTTTATTTTTTATTGGCTAGTCAGTAGACGAAGTATTAAACACACTGTGAGATGATCATGCTAATTTTTTTACACAGTCAAAAAATTATAGCATTATGATTGTGTGACAACGGCCGTCTATGAACCTCTCTCACTGTAAGACTAGTCTAGGACCACCGTTTAGGTGCCACGGCCACAGAAATCGCCACGATTGGTCATCTTTCATCTGGGACAGCCCAAAATGTGTACAGAGCATAAGACGCAATCGAAAATGCAATTTTGAAGCTATTTTCTTCTCCTTTTCAAATGGGTTGGCATTGTAGTCAATGTCTACCTGGATATTCAAGAGTATGCAAGACAGTTGTACTAGTGTCAAGCTGTAAAAACAGGTTTAAGTGGAATGATTCAAAACCCAGTTGACAACAAAGCCGAAATCACTGTCAGATCTCCCTGCGGTTAAACTGAACTCAAAAGCAGCAACAAAGTGGTTGTCAAAACAGGTGTCTACGGAGACTTGGGGCTATTTCACAATTGCCACGAACACAAACAAGCGAACATACAAGTTGTGGTAGGACTCTAATAGCAGCTGTTCTTGGCTGAAATGGGAATGTACCCCTTGTTTAACCGATATCATGAACCTCTGTAAACCAATATCTATCGCTGACCCTGACCGCCCCCCCCCCCCTTCTCCTGTAACACAGTGGGTGTTCTGAAAGAGGGCCGTTTCAAGTGCGGCCATTAATGGATACTTGCCCCGATGTTTCAACCTTGAAGCATGACCAATGGTGACAAACAGCGGGCCCCAGGTGCCGCCCGAGGAACCTTGGAGAACTGGGGTGTGGAGTATGTGAGAGCGTGTTTGTGTGTGTGCTAAGACGTTGACTCACCAGCCTTGTGTTGTTGTCCCTCTCACGGTCCCTCTCTCTGCCCGTCGGGCCTTGTCCTCCACGCAACAGCTGCTGGGCATCATGAATGGCTTGTGTCACAACATCACCCTCTCCCAAGAAGCCTGAAGAGTGAAAGGGCGAGAGAGAAAGGAAACTTTAGACAAGGTCAAGAGAGATAGATTTATCCCTCTCCGTCTTGTGATGAACAAATAAAGCCCTTGGCTCGGTCTCAAGTATATGATCCGATCCAGGACAAGACCCCGTCCAAAGGCTTAAGACGAACAGTCACGTCTGACGTGCTGACACATTCTCAGGGGGCTGGTTCGAAGGGGGAACAGGTTTTCTGAACTGTTGACAACTGCCGTTAATACTTGGGATAGAGGTATGTTGGCAGTGGGAACCCTAAGATGGGTCCTTTCTAACAGGGTGCAGAGTCATTTTTACTGAATGTGAACCTCATGGACTGCCCTCTCAAACAATGCCATGAGAGTACAGCAGGAAAACCACAGAGGTCATGTCTGACTCATAGGCACTTTTTACACCTGGTATTAAGATGTGTTTTGTAGTAGTAGACGAGGGAGTCACCTGGTATTTTAAATTTTGTCCATTTTGTACACTTTCAACCACTTCTGTCCTTTTCACACATTTCTTTGAGGGGAGGGTAAACATATGGGCTTTTATCTACATGAATTTGCGAGTGTGTGTTAGGCCCCGTCCACAATACTGCATTTTCGTTTAAAAACGGAGACCTTCTGCTACGTTTGCACCTCCCGTCCAGATTAAAACGGAAAAAATGAAGAGCTAAAACAGAGAAGTTTAGAAACGCTCCAGGTTGCATTTTAGTGAAGACGGGACGAAACGATGACGCAGAGGCTGACGCTCGGCTCTATGATTGGGTGTCATCAGTCATGACGTGTCCTTCCCTGATTCGTCAGCCACCCATCACATGACCCATTTCCTGTTTACGACCCATTTCCCCATTTATAGTCACGTGGTCCGCGTCTTCAGTCGTTTTAATGTGGACGGAAATCAATTCTAATACGCAGATAAAACGCTGGTGTGGACGGAGATCGTATTCGTTTTAATTCTCCGTTTTTAAACGCAGTAGTGTGAGCGGGGCCTTAGAAACCAGGTTGTCTTCAAACCAAACTTGGGTCTTTAGCTGACAAAAGTATAAATCCTGTCTGACTAGCGCTCTTCCCATTATGTTTACACATCAGGTCAGTAGCCGTAGGGTAGGCGTCTTTTGTGGTTGTTCGAACACATTCGACCATTTTAGAGTTTACACTACAAAAGCAATCCGGTCAATTGGGTTTTCGATTACCTCTGGAAGTGGTCGAAAGTGGACAAGCTCAAAAAGTTTTAGACCCTGTATTTAGCGGCATCCACTTGTGATCAGTCGACCAAGACGCATCTTAATACCAGGTGAAAACAGGGCCATAAAGAGGTAGAGATATTTTTGGACACACCTGACAGCACACAATGAATACAAAGCAATTTGTTGAGTAATAAAGAAATTTACAGTCTCAATCTACTAAACAGTGCTGAGGGTTGAGAGGAAATTGCAAGATCAATTGCAACAAAACAATCTTTCAAATCAACTTAAAGCACCTTAAATCAACCTCTCGAGCACATTGTAATTTTTGAGACTATTTTTGGAGAGGTCAAGCGTCACATACTTAGGCTGAGGGCAGATCGAGAAGGGCTATGGGGCAGATCTCTGGGTCGGTACCCTGACTGCATGTGGGCCAGTTCCAGTGCCTGGGGGCTCGGGGTCTTGGGTTTAGCCGTGAGGTTGAGAGGTTGACTGGTGTCCTTGAGCACAAAGTCATTGAGGGATTCGTTAATAAATGACTAAAAATACAACAAAGTGAAAGATGAGCTGAGCTAGATAGTGTACCTGGCGAAAGAGACTGGACCTTTTGGAGTGTGGATTGGGCAGCAACTGCATGGGATATTCCACTAAAAACAAATAAACAAGTACATTTAAAAGACTGGACTTGACCAACTATCAGGTTTCAAGACAGGATCAGAGCAAATCTAAATCTTTCATAGTTACTATCAGTCCAAATGCTCTGTATCCTTAAAGACTTCTAAGACATATAGCATTGCAAACCTAAGAAGTTCTCTAATTTAATAAGTTGGATAAACTCTTTGACCTCAGATTTGCTTGAGTCCTTGACCCTCAATTCCAAGTTTCTTTACAATGGCAGCTCGATTGTGTCAGGCATGCTGTTAGCCGACTCACTCACACACTTGTCCTATTGTTCCCTGTTCTTTCCTTCTATCCTTCATCTTTTATGAAGTAGTACTTCTAATGGAGTACATATATGCAGGTATCAAAGTTGTGCATTTACAAGAGTCTTTTAACTAAGCGAGGGCACAGTGCCATAGATTACGGACGTCAATGCAAAGAACCCGCTATGGATTTTATTTGATCAATATGCACTCTAATTCAATGGACAGCCCTGAGCCGTTCTTCAATGAATGTGCAAGGAAATCACTTTGGCAGACCTTTCAGTGAGTCTTTCTGAGCAAAACCATCAATTCCTGCAAGAACTACTTGTGTTACAGAAGAGACCTTCAGACGAACATGCATTCTTGGAATAGAATTTTTTTTTCTATTTTCCTTTAGCATAGAATAGCATATAAACTCTTTCAATTCAGCTTGCACTACGCTACATATTAACTGAAACTACAAACTTCAGCTGATAAGCCTACACTGAAAGGCACAAGAGCAAACAAGTTTTTCAAATAACCAACAAAGGGTGATATTTGAAGTCAATTATTTAGAGATTTTTGACAGATGCTATTTGATCCATCTGAATATAACAGATGGCTGAATCCTGTGTCCTAACAGACTCTTATTGTGAACGGTTGCTCAATATGCAAATAGGTAGGTCTTCTATGCATAGCAGGTTGTATGAACAATTCACTCCATTGGTCAAAGGGACAGAAGTTGAGGAAGTTTTCTTGAGGGTTTGGTGCGGCCTTACCTGGTTTGCAGGGAATGGGTTGCAGAGGTAAACCCATCTGGGCCTCAGAGGTGACTGGCAACGGCTGGGCGTTGGGGTGAAAGGCGGGGATCATAACATACGGCATGTTTACCTGCTGGTTCAAAGGTCACAGAGAACACCTTAAGTCACCTAATATTGTATTTCCACTCTGTCCAAATAATCTTAATGGAACAATTCACCCAAAAAGCTATTTACTCACAGTCGTGTCATGACCTCATTTCAATTTATATCTTCCTTAAAGGAGTAGTTCACTTTTAAAAAAAACTTTGCTTACAATTTGCTCACCCCCATGTCATCCAAGATGACCAAGTCTTTCTTTCTTCAGTTGGAAAGAAATTAAGGTTTCTGATGAAAACATTCCAGGATTTTTCTCCATATTATGGACTTCAGTGGGAACCAAACAGTTCAAGGTCCAAAAGGCACTTTCAGTGCAAACTGTTCAAAGGGCTTTAAACGATTCCAGACGATGAATAAGGGTCTTATCAAGCGAAACGATCGCTCATTTAATAAATAAATTACAAAATGTACGTTTTATAAGCTCAAATGGTCACCTTGCTCTGTTCTGTTATGTGCGTTTGTTACTCTCCTGTTCGAACTCGTTCATCAAAATGAACAAATCTTTTTCCGAGTCATTTGGTTCATTCAACGAACGAAACGAATGAATTGACTCATTCGGAAAAAAGATTAGTTTTGATGAACGTGTTCGAACAGGAGAGTCACAAACGTGCGTCACAGAACAGAGCAAGGCCAGCATTCGAGCTTGTAAAACTTAAAAGTTTGTTGTTGTTGTTTTTTAAATGAGCGATCGTTTCACTTGATAAGACCCTTATTCATTGTCTGGAATCATTTAAAGCCCTTTGAACAGTTTGCAGTTTGAACTGAAACTGTTTTTTGGACCTTGAACTGTTTGGTTCCCATTGAAGTCCATTATATGGAGAAAAATGCTGGAATGTTTTCGGAAAAACCAGCACTCGTAAACCTTAATCGAAAACGTTTACCTTTTTGAATTTTTTAGGTGAAGTATTCCTTTAAGACCATAAGTTTCTCCCAAGTCTCTAGTAGTTCATACAGTGAAGTAAACTGCAAGGTTTTGAATCATCAACCTCACCTGAATTTGCTGCTGCAGTAAATTGATTTTATGTTGCTGCTGTATCAGTTGCTGCTGCTGTTTGGCAATCTAAAACAGAAAATCGGCATTCAGAAACCAAACTAATTCATATATAGACCATTTTGCTAGATGTAAACAACACTGGTCCAGAAACACTTCCTGTTTCAGTTTGTAACTGTTTTCTTTATTTCACATGTAAAGAAAACATCTTAAAGATGTTGTTTAACTTTTTAATTCAGTTTTACATGTTCTGTTGGTTGTATTTTATCCCAGCTTTTGTGTAGTGTTCAAAAACTGAAACAGGAAGTGCTTCTGAACCAGTGTTGTTTACATCTTGCAAAATCGTCTATAGCTTTTTCCTCTTCAAATGCTCCATCGTTTCCTTGTCACTTGTTCAACTCTCGTCTCCACACCTGTTCTTGCTGCTGTCTTGCCAGTTCCATCTGTTGCTGCTGTTTCTCCAGCAGAAGAGCAGCCATGTTCCTCTGCTCTGAATGAGCTCCGAGCAGCTGCTCTCGCAGACCAGAGAGCTGGTTTATCATCAACAACAACTGAAACTCCTTCTCTGCCAGACTCTCCGGGGTTCCTGTAAACACATACGCACAAGCTGATGGTCAGGCAGAAAGTGTCAGTGAAAAACAAATGTGAGATGAACCAATCACAATAGAAAAACACACACACAATGCACACTAAATGGTTTGCTTGACTCTACTGTATGTGCAGTGTAAACAGATAAATGTACCTTTTAAGTTGACACTGGCCTGAAGACCCTTCCCGAGGAACTTCTCTTTCCAGTCTGTATTCAGAAGCTTTTCAATTGTGGGCATCACTAAAGAAAAAAAAAAAAAATATATATATATATATATATATATATCAAAAACAAATTCAATATCTGAACTTTTAATAATTTAAAATGAAGCCCTGGACAAAAGCATGTGAATGTAATATTTCTATTAAAAAGTAAAGTAAATGTTATTATACATATATATACAGTATGTGTGTGTGTGTGTGTGTGTGTGTGTGTGTGTGTGTGTGTGTGTATGTATATATATATATATATATATATATATATATACACATATGTGTGTGTGTGTCTGTGATTATATATATATATATATATATATACACACACAAATGGTTAGTTCAAATTCTTGATTCTGATTGGTCAATAGCTGTGCTTTATTCATAATAATACAAGGCTATGTCCGCTTCACCCAATGGTTTTATTTATCGCTGTGCAACACTGCAGTTCCTGTGTTGTGTTTATTTGAGCTTTCATGCATATTACACATTGGAACGTTGTTAATGTTCACGGTCAGGGACTATTTATTTTCTAGCGGAAGGAAGGCTTTTAGTGATTTTACTTCATGAAAGTTGCACTAATAATTTTTTTAAACTTATTTTTATTGTGTAGTAACCATTTAAAAAAAAAAACTATAAGGTACTCGAGGCAAGTGGCGTATCGTGAATAACTAACGGAAGGGGTTGTGCTTTGCGTCATGCCTAACAACGCCCTTCAGCCGTTTCTTATTTACAATACAGCACAGCCTCACATACCTTATTGCTTACATAAATGATTATCTAAAATATACAAGATAAATGTGTACTCAATATAAATGATGCATAATTATGGAAACAGAGTGACACAATAGAAAATAAAACCCTTTTTGCTGTACTAAAAAAATAGACCTTAAAACCCCAGTTATAACAAAAGAAAAATAGAAAGTGAAACAATTCTAGGGAATGGGTGAAAATAAAAGGAAAGCTATTTAAGAAAACACTTGAGGACTCTTTAATAACCAACAAGCATTTCCCAGGGGCTGTGAAATATATCATACAAATGAAATCAATGAAAAGCTTCACAGAACTTGAAACAAAAGAAGAATTAGGAGGTTTCTCTCAATGTAGACTGCATTAATAGCAATCAGCTCCTAATTGCAGACAGATACATGGACAAACTTCTATTAAAATCCTCTTTTGCAGCCCTCCATGAAGATTTGCCCTTACCCTCACTGACGTTAGGTTTGCTGTCAGTCTTGTCATAGACTCTGCTGCCTCCATCTTGACTGGCAGGTGTGTGTGAACGTAGCAGTTCTTTACTGAGAGGAGAATTCTCCTGAAGAACACAGGGACAAATCCTCACTACAGAAATCTCACATCTTATCATGAAAACACACACATGCGGAAAAAGTCTATAGTCTTGATATCAAATTACTTTAATTTATAAAAAAAAGACTAAAATTCATGAACACATCATCAAACTCCAGGTCATACCAAGGAAGATTGTGCGTTAGGTGGCGCTGACTTCTCAACTGACCAATCACAGATCGGAGAGGATTCCCGGTTGACAACTCTGCCTCCCGATTCGTTGTCTTCAAGCTTGATACCAACACCCACCATGGTCACATTGCTCTTGGCATGGGGATGCAGAGCAGGCGGACTGGGCTCACACATTCTGCAAAAACAAAACATTTTCAGAGCATGTTATTCAAAAGAAAGAAACAGTTTGCCTTTATAATCTTGATGTCGGCTGATATCTTATTTTTCCAACCATCTGTCACACTTTGGAGTATCAGGTCAACTCCTTATTGATAAAAACTAGTTATGCCCTACGTTTTCCCAATAAAGGAGTAGTTCACTTTTGCTGATAATTTACTCACCCCCATGTCATCCAAGATGTCCATGTCATTCTTTCTTCAGTCGAAAAGAAATTAAGGTTTTTGATGAAAACATTCCAGCATTTTTCTCCATATAATGGACTTCAGTGGGAACCAAACGGTTCAAGGTCCAAAAGACAGTTTCAGTGCAAACTGCAAACTGTTCAAAGGGCTTTAAACGATTCCAGACGATGAATAAGGGTCTTATCAAGCGAAAAGATTGCTCATTTAAAAAAAAAAAAAAAAAAAGTTTAAGTTTTATAAGCTTCTGTGTGACTCTCCTGTTCAAACTCTTTCATCAAAATGAAGGAATCTTTTTCTGAGTCAATTCGTTCGCTGAATGAACCAAATGACTCAGAAAAAGATAAGTCCATTTTGATGAACGAGTTTGAACAGGAGAGTCACAAATGTGCGTCACAGAACAGAGCAAGGCGACCATTTGAGCTTATAAAACTTAAATTTTGTTATTTATTTATTAAATGAGCGATCGTTTCGCTTGATAAGACCCTTATTCATCGTCTGAAATCGTTTAAAGCCCTTTGAACAGTTTGCAATGAAAGTGTCTTTTGGACCTTGAACCGTTTGGTTCCCACTGAACTGCATTATATGGAGAAAAATGCTGAATTCATTTCTTTTCGACTGAAGAAAGAATGACATGGATTGACATCTTGGGGGTGAGTAAATTATCAGCAAAAGTTTTTTTAAAAGCGAACTACTCCTTTAAATCTATGTTTCACTCAATGAACAATATATAGTTACAGAAGTAAAATGCAGTGCACAGATGGACAATTTCATGTTGAAATCACCTTTCAGCAAGAATTTGGAAACCATGTCAGCCTGCATTGCTAACAAGGGTATTCCGGTTTTGTACAGCTACTGTCTGGGAAGAACAGAGAGACCACGGGGGGGAAAAAACAGCTGACTGCTTTGCATAAGGAACAGAAGGGTTTTTGTGGAGCCCAGACACAGGCCACCCCATTCGAACTCTTTCACCGAAGCCACTTCTTCAGGGTCTCCAGGGTTTAGGAGCCACTCTGTCGGGAGAGGATATTTGTGCGGGATTGTGTTATGTGTGCACGTCAGAGTCGTTCAAACCTGTCAACATACTGTCAGAGAACAGATGCCAGACTACTGTGCCCATCGAGTATCTGTCCGTCTCAAGTAGCACACCAAACCCTTCTGCAATGAAGGACAAGAGGAGGAGAGAGAAGGCAATTTCAAAATTAGCCGAAGTCTATAAACACCTCTCCTCCACCTCCTCCTTCGCTCTGCACGACAAAAGAAACAAGGCAACCCAAAGAAAACAAACACAAGGGAAAATGCATCTCTCCCTTTCTTTTTCACTCTCTAGCGCTCTGCAAATATATATATATATATATATATATATATAATGCCCATTGTTACCGAGAAAGAACAAAGGAAGTTTAAACAATGGGCATGACATGGACAAAAGCAATAGGCTGCAGGAAACACAGCAGGGTAACAATACAAACGGAATGTGCCGATGGTCCGTGGCAGAGAAAAAAGTGGAACAGTCACTGGGCCGATTCCAGTTCCTCCTGTATTTTTTCATCCACTCGGAGAACACAAAAGCAGCTTGTACGTTTACATTAAGGCGCAAGAGAAAGGTTGAATGCTTAGCTCAAGCGTTTTCTGTTAAGCCGAGCAACTTGGTTGAATTGAAAATAATTCAATGGACCAATCTGTTCTTTTGAAGAAGTGATTTGCCAATGTAACATGGAGGAAATTGGCCAAGCCTTGGAAGGTTTGGGCAAAAGGGCGTAGTTTTCTGTTCGTGTTTTTACCTGACCGCAAAGCAAACAAAAGTTTGTGTGTGAAAGTAAAAAACCATAAGAGCTCAATTAAAGGAGTAGTTCACTTTTAAAAAAAACTTTTGCTGATAATTTACTTACTCCCATGTCATCCAAGATGTCCATGTCATTCTTTCTTCAGTCGAAAAGAAATTAAGGTTTTTGATGAAAACATTCCAGGATTTTTTCTCCATATGCACTTCAGTGGGAACCAAACGGTTCAAGGTCCAAAAGACAGTTTCAGCACAAACTGTTCAAAGGGCTTTAAATGATTCCAGATGATGAATAAGGGTCTTATCAAGCGAAACGATCGCTCATTTAATAAAAAAAATTATAACAACGTTTAAGTTTTATGAGCTCAAATGCGTGTTCATGACTCTCCTGTTCGAACTCGTTCATCAAAATGAACGAATCTTTTTTCGTGTCATTTGGTTCATTCAACTAATTAATTGACTCAGAAAAAGATTGGTTCATATTGATGAACAAGTTCGAACAGGAGAGTCACGAACGTGCATCACAGAACAGAGCAAGGCGACCATTTGAGCTTATAAAAACTTAAACTTTTTTTTTTTCGCTTGATAAGACCCTTATTCATCGTCTGGAAGCGTTTAAAGCCCTTTGAACAGTTTGCAGTTTGCACTGAAACTGTCTTCTGGACATTAAACTGTTTGGTTCCCATTGAAGTCCATTATATGGAGAAAATCCTGGAATGTTTTCATCAAAAACCTTAATTTCTTTTCGACTGAGGAAAGAATGACATGGACATCTTGGATGACATGGGGGTGAGTAAATTATCAGCAAAAGTTTTTTTAAAGACTGAACTACTGCTTTAAGTTGGATAAACCTTTTATCCGACAAGAAAACATGCACATTTACAGTATAAATTCCACAATGCGCATAAAAATGCTATGGGACGGCATAACTGGACTAACCAGCGGACCGATCTCAGTGCACAGAATCTGAAATGCTGTTTTGGTTGTCCTGAGCAAAGTCTGTCGTCAAAGTGATCTGGAATACTTACCTCCCAAAACTGTGTAACACGACAAACAGCAGCATCTGCCTCCAAAAGCAAGATCACTTTATTGCGTTTCGTCTGCGCGCTCTGAGGCGCAAGCAATTTATTATATTTCATTCTTCCTAGTGATATTTAGAACCAGTTTAACAGGATGATTTTATATTCTTCGGCTCACTGGACAGAAGTCAAATCTGTCAAAAAAAATTCGAATCGCAACTTTGGAATGAAACATAGCTATTGGTAGTCATCGCACTCAGAATCACTGTCAGATGTGAACCGCAAACTCGATACGGTCTTCCCAAATCAGATTTAGATACCAAGGACAAGACCCCCTCCTTTCCCTGGGAACCAAGTGCACTCACGAAAGATCCTTGTAAAACAACCCGGCGGCCATTGGTGCATTATAAATAAACACTTGCAAGAAGTCTACACTATTAAAGTTCCTATTGTGACGAGGCTAAAATTGTTCCTGTTCTCCCAGTTGAGAAGCACTGATCCACAAACCAGGTGCAGGAAGTGTGAATTTGTCAGCTCCTTCCAAGTGCACTTGTAGTTCTAGAGATATTCCGGCTATTTGCTTGGAGGGATTTGACTGTCAAAAAAATGGCACAGTCTCAAGCTCCAAACGGACTCGTGAAGATTAATGCTAAAGCGAAGCTTCTTCGCGCTTGTGTGAAAGAATGTTGCGTTGTAAAAAAAAAAGCAACAGTTGGAAGGGTAATTCCTTAACCAGTTAACTTTTTGTAATGTCATTATGTAACAATGTAAATCTTTAATATGAAGCCAATTTGAACTATAAAGTAAATAAAAAGGTAATAATTTCTCTTAGTTGTGTTTTTGTCACAACTGCAATATTATGTTTCATAATTTTTGAACAATCTTTTTTGTAAATATAATTAAAGTAAAACAGGTTTCCGTGAATATTCCATTCATAACAAAGGAATACAAAAGAACAGCACTGATAGCATTGTTCTTAATCCCCTATAAAAGGTGAATGTGTCATAACTTGGTAATTGCGATAAGAAATACAAAAGACAAGCTCTTGTGTCAGCACATGCAAAACAAGCCAGAAAGACTTAACAGTATGATTGATAGTAACTGCCAGTGGGTCTTACAAGCCTACAGGTTGAGAGTTTGTCCTTACCTGTTTTTCGGATGTGGAGCCATAAGACGTATTTCCAAAGAGCTCTGACAGTCTTTTGTGGTCTAAGATAATATCAGCCTCCGGGTTCTTTGCGTTTGAGCTAAAACACCTCTGAAATGATATACTTCCCACGGTCAGGAGTGCGCGAGACAAAAGCTTAAGTTCCCTTACAAGTCGTAACGTGTTGCGGCCTCGCATTCTGTCCTCTGATGCAAATACGAATTTTCTTTGTTGTTTCGAACTCTCCCTTCCCTTACGATGGCACTGAAGTGGTTAATTTCCGCATTGTGAAAAGTCGAGCTTCTAAACGTTGTCGAAAAGGACAAATAAAACTGTCAGAAGTGCCAAAAACAAGCCTGTTCGTGCATAGACTTTGTTTTACTGAAATCTAAGCGATCATTAAAGGAACAGGAGAGCCGTAGTGACATAACACCGGTTTGAACTTGAAGTCTAAAGGCTTTTTAACACCCTAAATCATTGCACCTGCCAATTAGGCATGTAACAATTAAACACGTTCTAACTTTACAAGCACCTGTTGTAAACCAGCACTTGACACAATGCGAGAATGCAGCAAACTGCTCTGGATGATGGTAGGTTTCCCTTAAGACCAGACAGGTGAACACTTTGGGGTCTTCAGCTAAAAGCAGAAGTGTTTGTAGGCTTTGAGCCCATCCGCATGCGATGCAAAGTCCAATCAGCTGTTGAAATCCAGCAACAGGAACTTCCAAACCCACCTGCCAGTAACTATACTCTTAGCAAAGATACAAAGCCTTGACCCAAGCACACGGTCTACCAACCTCAAGAGCATGTGGTCAGTTTTCATCGTCT